TAAGGAATATAATATGGTATCAAGGTAAACCGTATTATATTTTTCTTTATTAATAAAAAAACCATCTAAAATAAAAGAAAAAATTGGATATATATATCATGCGAGAGAGGCATCAAATTAAATAGAGTGAAACATTTAGAAAAGAAATTAAAATATTTAAAGTAATATATTTTAACAATTAAATATCTAGATATAAGATAAAGATTTATTTAATAGATTTTTCATGTATCTCTAAAAACAAAAAAATATTATCGGAAAGTGAAAAAATATCAGCTTTTTACATAGCCGTTCTAGACATTGAAAAATTAGAAAAAATGTTGTATAACACATCGTACCTTACACTTATCACTTATACACTTCCTTATCTTGTAATATCTCTTTCCTTTTTCTCTCGCTCTCTCTTTTTCCAAGTGTTATGTTTGTCGCCTGAGAAGCAATGTATTATATGTAAAGATGACACACATATGCGACTTTTGGTTTCATGGCCTCCCTCCACTTGAAATAGAGATGCACCAATCGAGTTCGCGTAGGCGTGTGCGACAATATCCGAGGGCGGGACCAACGAGCGTTCGAATCGGTGAGGTTGGGACTTTAAGAGTTGGGTCCGTATATATACCGGGATTTCGTTCTACCGTGCAAGAGTCCAAGGAGTCGGACTTAGTCGCCTCACTTCGTTCCACAAGTATAGAAGGGTGCACGTGATTCCAACAATTTCCGTGATATCTTCGGGGATCGACAATTGAAAAGGGGATAAAACGTTGATCCTTCAGAAATGTTTCTTCCTGATGTAAACAATCCGCTACTGGATGCGCCCCTACAAATGCTACTGGGATCGCGATTCTTAACGTTTCCATCGATTCCACGGAACTATGGTACGTACTGTTTTCTCGTAATTTCTGTCTTATAATCAACAATAATGAGAGACAAATATGATGAGACCAGTGAAGGTTAACGATTTGTGTTTACGATTTAGGATTTTGAATTTTTAACACAATTAGGCTGAGAGATTACATTTATCGTACGACAAATTTTTCAAGCAATAATATGATGAGACCGGTGAAGGTTAACGGTTTGTGTTTACGATTTATAGGATTTTAAATCTTCAACACAATTAGGCTGAGAGATTACATTTGTCATACGACAAATTTTTCAAGCGTATTAATTGGCTCCAAAATAAAGTTTCTTCTTAAATCTCTCTATCCTATAGTCAACAAGCTCGAAAAATTTATTGTACGACAAAAAACGAATAAATGAAATAGCACGCGCTTAGATGATACATATACGATATTTTAATATATAATTCTAATTTTATAATAATACCGATCTAAAATAATATGTATATATAAGGTAATTGTAAAATATAAAAGTGAATCAAGCGTGACATAAAATCGTAAAAGGTATATAACAGATATAATTTTTCTCTAATATATAATTACACACACACACACACACACACACACACACACACACACACACACA